TCATAGGGTGCCCACACTCCAATCGCAGAACATTAGAGCCAAGAGGACATTTATGTAAATCTTGTCCAATCCTCTGATTTCACTAAGAACTTGAAATCCAAAGAAGTTAAGCATTTTGCTCAAAAGACAAATTAGTATCAGAGCCTGGCCTGGAAGCCAGATTTTCTCACCCCCAGTCCAGTGTCCAAATGGGAGGCCAGGGAGGTCACCAGAAAAGTGGGGTGGAGTCTAAGGAGATGGGAAGGTATGGGATGTGAGCTGAGGAGAGTGCCTTCTCCGAGGGGCTGGGCAGGTTAGGAGAGCAGGTATTTATAGGAGGGTTCGGGGCTACGTTGGTGAGTTTCTCTGTCCTGGCCACATCTCCAGGACTTCCTGCTGTTGCTTAGCCTGCAGACAGTTATTTTGGGCTTCTGGGCTTTGGCACACACCCAAAGCTGGGAGAGGGTGCGTAGTCCTCCACAGCAGCACCAGCTGTTCTGTGGATCCAGAAGGATTAGCAGTCCCGGGGAGGCTAGCATCAGATTTCTGAGGGACTTCTGTGAACTGAAGATAGAAGGGCAACAGGGCCACAGAGCAAGGACGCAAGCAGGGTTGCTCATTTGGAAGAGTGAAGCGCTTCAGGCTAAGAGGTTGCTTGGTGTGTATGTTTGCAAATATGGAAGCAAAGCAGTTTCTGCATCCGCAGCTATCGCCTGTTTGCTGTTGATGGGGCAGGGGAGGGAATGCAGTGTACGTGTTTGCCAGTTACTAAGCCTTCATTGCATCTCCAAGAATCCCAAATGTACTTAGCATGAGCTAACACCCTCTTTATTCTTAACCCTGGAGGACGTCCTGGTGAGAATTTGTATCTACTTTTAGACTTAAATAAGGGCAGACAATGAGGACTGGGGACGAGAGCAACGCTGTCCAGTGGGAACATACTGTGAGCTACATGAGTCATTGTAAATTTTCTGGTAGTAAATGGAACAGGTGAAATTAATTTTAATAATATACTTTATTTAACCCAATATATCAAAGTAGTATCATTTTAACATATAATCAGTATAAGAATTACTGAGATGTTTTACATTCTTTATTTTGCACTACATTTTTGAAATCCAGTGTATATTTCTACATTTACAGCACATTTTATTCTGGCCACATCGAAAGTGTTCAGTAGATACACGTGGCTACTGGTGACCGTATTGGACAGCACTGATTCGAAGGAAGAGACATATAAAGCTGTATACAGTTAGAAAGTGGGGCCAGGGAAAGGAAAACTTATGCCCAGAGGAAGAAAAATCTGGGGGTGAGCAGCCTTCAAAGCAAAGGGTGAAACCCTGTGACGGGTGCTAACAGTTCCCATCTCCACTGAGAGTCCACCCCATGGCGTACATCCCCCCAAAAGTCTTGTTTATGTTTCAGTTATATGAGATGCTTGATTTAAGTCTAAGGAAAGCATTTCCAAAAGGGAGAATTGAATCTTAACTAGTAGGGTAAATGTTTACTTGCCTTCTCTCTCACTAATAGGATAAATGTTTATCTTGCCTTCTTCCTACATTTTTCCATATGCATTAAGGAACCAAGTCGTCCTCACTTCTCAGAGATGAGTTAAGTTTGTCCAGGTGATAAGTGTGTCCCGATGTGAAGGTTTGGATAGAATATGAAACCGATGAAGGCAGGGCCAACAGTGTCCCTTTCGGTACTGGGGACCCTGGAGCTAATGATTGGACGATGTCTGTTAGTGCACGTTGAACCCTTTACAGATGGAAAGCTAATCAGGAAGAGAAGGTTCACTGCTGTTCTCAGCTGGCGTTGCTGTCCTGGTGATGCCAGCTGTCCCGTCATGACTCGAGGGGGTGGCACATGGAGATCAGACACTGAGAGGCCCAGGACTCGGTGGCTTTGCCACCTTGTGCAAGTTTTCAGACTTCCCTGAGCCTTAACATTTCATTTTTCTGCCCTCCCCAGGTCAACGGGTTAGTACAAGAGTCAGAGGAGGAAATAGACTTACATATGCTTTAAAAGCTGCTTTTTTTAAGTGCTTCATAAAAGAAAGGGATAGTGGAATATCAGTCCTTCTTTCTCTGTCTGATTCGCCAGGCCTCTTATGTGCCAAATATTTGCTAAATGATCAATTCCAGTCACCACTTGGGATTAAGTTGATTGAAAGATGCTGGGGGTTTCTGTAAACTGTGCAGATTCTGTCAAGAGATTGTCCACATTCTCTCTTTGTTCTGCATTTGACCTCAGGTCATCAGGCCCCCAGCTGGAGTTTGGAAATATTTGTATTTGTATGAGAACTTTTATTTTTATGAGGCGTGACCCATATCAGTCTTGGCACAAAGAGTCTTAGGTCCTCTGCAGCCTGTGGACCAGCAGTCTCAACACACACCCCAGATGTGCCGTGGGGGGTCCTGCACTGAACAGGATCCCAGCGGGTACCAGCGTATACTAAAGTCTGAGAACCACTACCCCACAGTACCCCAACTAGTGATTGTCCGGGCAGCCTCGGCTGGGACAGCTGCTGGGCAGGCAGCTCGCTTCCTCTCGAGGCAGCCCCTTCTATTGCGGGACAGCTCTTATAGAAATTTCCCCCTCGAGTCAGAATCTGCCTGGAGGTGTCACCCACTCAGGGTGCCCAGAATCAGTTTCATTATTCTGCCTCGTGAAAGCCCACAGAGTAGGTACTTGGAAATGTCATCACTTTCCTTTGTTACACAGAAGCCTTGATCCAGAGGCTAGATAGGTGGTGAGTGGGGCTATGCTGGGTCAGCTCCTGGTCTCCTGCTAAAGGCTGCAGGTCCTGAGGCATTGGAGAAGGAGCTCGAAATGTCCTCTTTCAGTTCTGTCTCTTCCTTCACTCCTGCCAGAGTCCAGGGGGACTGGATAAGTGATTGCAGTTTGGACGGGGTTTGGAGAACTTGAAGAGGTTTCGCAACAGGTCAAGAGCGTGGAAGTGGTGTCTGGGGTGGACATGGGTCCTGCAGGGCATGTGTGCTAAAGGGCGAGGTCATTCACAGTGGCGATGAACAGGAGGCGATGGTGTTACCCCTCCCTAGCTCGGCGGCATGGGGGATGCTCGAAACCCCTCCGAGATCAGCTTCCTGGGTTCTAAAAGAAAACGGTTGATAACCCTGACCTGCCTGTCTCCAGGGTTTCTATGGGACTCAGTGAAGATAAGGTCAGTGAACACGCTTGACAATATGGGAAATGGTCCGAGGATGAAAGGGACACTGGATGACACCAGGAAACAAGTGTACCACTCACTCTCTGTGTGACCTCTGGGAGGCCCTCACCCTCCCTGGGCCTCTCTGAAACAAGTGAGTTATACACAAGAGATCTCTGAGTGTCTTCTCGATGGCCGTGGAGGTGCAGAGGCTCATTGCTATGATGATAGGTTGCCTGGAGGGTTTCTCCAAGGATGGCTCTTCAAATATTTATTTAGGGAGGCTTCCTAGAGCTTGGAATTGAATGCTTTTAGAGGGAAATGATTTCAGACACCCTTCTGGTGCAGGCCTGGCCTCTACTGTGGGAGACCCACTTTAGAGATGGGTGCTTGGCCATGATCACGCCTGTGTTTCCATGGCAGCAGATGAGTGATGGTTTCACTTCTACACACCTATTTCTGGAAGCCAGCTCTGCTCTATGAGACGACTCAGCTCCTCTCAGACCGAGCTGGAGTGTCACGTGCAGATCTTTCCAGGGGAACAGTCTTGTTCGATACTTCAAGCATTACCGAGGAGCTTTGCAAAAGCGTCGCTCCCCTTCAGTGTTTATGAGCCCTGGGGTGTGGCATACCTGGTAGTTTCACGAGCCAGCTTTGCCAGCGGAGGCTCCCAGTTGACCAGATAACTGAACCTGGCTTTTGGTCCAGCAGCCCATCTGTAGATGCTGGGCAGCTGAGAGCGAGGGGACCGAGTGTGTGGTTGCGGAGGGACGTAGTGTCCTTCAGGCAGCCTTCCGTGTCTCTCCTGACGCTCCGGGGACCCTGTGTTGTTCCTTCTCACCTCACCGCAGCCATGTCTCCAGCCTCCCATTTCATTGCCTGGGTACTTGCTTCTAACTCTGTACATCGCATCTTCTCCTGTGCACCCACCGTGTTGTCGTGGAAACTCGGTGGCCACAGCCGCGAGTGTCCGGTGTCATCCAGTGTGATGGTGTGGTACATGTATTTGCTCACGCTTTTATTTTGAATTCTTTCCAATGTGACATCTGCTAAAATGTCTCCCTTATAATTTGCTTGGTGATCACAGCCTTCTCATCATTCATTGAGAGCAGGACCTGATCTCACAGAATCTGAAAAGAGCTATGTGGTAAGATGCCTGTTGAATAAGACTGTAGCTTTTCTAAAGAGAATCCTTACTGACTTCTAGAGTCTAGACTGAAGTACTGCCTGGTTAACTCTCGGAGCCATTATTTACGAATTATGTGGCTATTGCTGTAGAGAGATGTTAGGCCACCCCTTTCCCTCTCCAAAGAGCGGAGGAATTTAGAGACACTTTCTCCTCTGCCTCCATGTGGGGTTAACTTAATGTGTTAGTGCATGATTGGGGATACATACTTGCATTTCTGTCCTGAAATTATTCTGTTTGTAACAGTTGCTCACTAATTACAGGCTTTTATGCTGCTACCTTTTTTTTTTTTAATATTCATACTAAATTCCAAATTCTGTATCTTACCTGTTTTTCCATGCTTACGCCTGGATCCCTCCTGCACTTCACTCCTGGAATATCTATTTTTTTAACCTGGATCTTCAACTCTGTTGTTTCCCTGGACTTATGTGCTTCGTCTGGAATGTTACATCTCTTCCTCTCTTTCTTTTTTTTTTTTTGTCCCCATGTTGACTGTTTTATGGGGTTTCTGGATATCTCGGGGCCACCTCACAGGAAGCAGTTTGCAATGAGATCATAAACATTGCCGAAAAGTCTGTTCATTACTGCAGCACTGTCTCTCATCCCCTTGACTTTCATCACAAGGTACCCCCTTCTGACAATAAATCATCTTTAATCATTTCTCAGCAACCTCAAGCCCAGCAGCGAAGAGTCACCCCAGACAGGAGCCAAGCCTCACAAGATTTGTAAGTACGCTTGGCAGACTTCATTTCTCATGCTTTTGTAGACTGTTGGGCTCCGAAAGCGGGTCGCTGACTGGCTGTGGGGGCAGCCGTGGGGGGGAGTGAAGGACTCACTCCAGCTCGCCTGAGAATTCCGTGTTTTCCATCAGCCGATGTGAGAACAGGTGAGGGTAATGGAGGGGGTCATGGGCTACGGGAGAGGGACAGGTAAAGCATGACCCGCTCTCCAAGGGCGAGTGAGAGCTGTGCTGATGGCCCCATTCCTTTTGTTGTGGGAATATAGAGGAAGGAAGGTTAATTCTGACTAGAGCTTAGTGAATAGCGTTGACCCCTTCATTAAACAGAAGTATTGGCTATCTCCTATGTTTTAAGCACAGAGGAGTAAATTCCATTCTCAGAAGCAAGGGACTTGGCATAAGCACTGAAAGACAGATTGAACTTGAGAGCTAGAGCAGGGGTCTTCCCAGCGGAGGAAGCTACATGGGCAAAGGTGGAGCGTTTGGACAACTTCAAAGATGCCCATGTGGCCACAGGATACAGTTCACGGAGGAAACAGAGACAGAGCTCAAGAAGTAGGTTGGGACCAGATTGTAGAATCCATAATGCGATTGAAATGTTTGGATTTCATTCTGCAGACGCTCAGGAGCCACTAGAGGGTTTTGAAATGAGTGTGTTGGTTATATTTTGTTTTAGGGAGATAACTCTGGTAATGGAGTAGAAGGTGGATTTCAGAGACGAGGGATGAAGATATTGGCTAGGAGATATTAATCCAGGCAGGAAGTGATGAGGGCCTGGGCTAGGACAGAGTGGGTGTTTTGTGACCTTGGACACAAGCAAGGTTACACAAGGAGATTCAGGGTAGAAGGGAAATGAGGGTAGGTTCTTTGAGAACAACTTTTAAGGCAACAGAGGGGCCGCAGGAGACTCGGGAGAGGGTCTGGGAGCAATCACTTGAGCAGAGTGGAGCAAGTGTGTTCGGTCAGTGGTGCCTTCTGCGTGATTGAGGCCAAGGAGGGTAGGAAATGAGAAGTGTCCTCCAGGTGTTCTCTTTGGCAACTGGGAAAAGCCATTGGTGACCTCGGAGACAGCAGCGTTAGAGAGGTGGAAGCGGACGCCACCTTGGAAAGGGTTGACGAGTCGGTGTGCTGGTGGGTGAAAGGGCTCCAGGCTGAGGGATTAGCAGACACAGGGATTCAAGTTACTGATACCAACCGAAAATTTCAAGATGCTGGAAAGGAAGTGATAGTCCAAACAGAAGATATTATTGGATGTAGAATTCAGCAGGGGGATATTACAGCTGTAGTGGAAAAGTCGCAGTTGTGCCTTCCAGTGCTGGAAATGTACAGTAACCTATTTTTAGGATACAGAGACTTAAGTACAATTTGTACCAGAGGAAAAGGGATTGACAGAGTCGAGGATGTAAGAGAAAAGACAAGTTAATAGCCAGGAAGGGAGTTCAGTGTGGCCAGAAGAGACCTTCCTTACACCTGGGAACAGAGACAGGAGGGAGGAGGTAGAGACCTAATGGGGGCAGAGAGAAGAGCCCTCTGTATCAGAAGAGGCAGAGGAGGTGGGGGAGACTCAGTGGGACCGTGTCCTGAGCAACATGAGGCCCACCCAAAATCAGCTGACTGGGTGACCCAAGCGACAAGGTCATGGGACTCTCTCCAGCCAGTCTCCATCATCTGGGAGTAAGAGCAGAAGCAGATTCAGGAGTTACTTTCCAGAGCTGAGCCGAGCAAAGCGGCCAAGTGGAAGTGAAGGGGACCAGGCGTCCCGAGGAGTCCACGTTGGGCAGGAGACAGCAGGCAAATACAGAAACGTCAAAGTGTGTTCATCTGCCAGCCAGAAATCTGTCTGCCTCGCTTAATTCCTCTTTAGAGACCTTCCTCTGGCAGACAGATCCGTCCACCAAAATATCAATACATTTGGATAAATATATAAAATTAAACTGTCCCTTTGGTTTTTACAGAGGAGAACGAACCTCTGGTTTCTGGGAACTTGCTCTGCTTACTTGTGTCTAGTCTGTCTTGCCCACACACTGGAGATCATGGGCATCCACTGGAAATGGTAGATGTTTGGCTCATTTGCAGAGTTTTGCCTGCTACTGTTGTGTTTCAAAATAGTGAGTAAACAATGTGAACTGGTGGACTCTCCTTAAGTATTCATCAAAGAAATAAAGAAAACAAAGCTTTTCCTTGTTGCCAAAGCAGATGCCAGATTTCACCACATGCCAGCTTTCTCCAGTGGCTGTTAGAACAAGCAGAGCCCCACACACCGAACTGCCGTAGGCCAACTACCACGTAAATAAAAATGTTAACCCCCAAATCGCTGGGACAGAAAAAAAGCTTTCAAGAGTTACAGGAAAATTACATCCATACTCAAAAGCAACGAATGAAATGCCTGTTGGTGTATTAAGAAACTCAAGGTAGTTTTGCTGAACGGTGGGGCAATTGGAATATATGTTTTCATTTAAATATGACAGTTTTATATATGACAATTGTCTTAGGCTCTCCAGTGTAAATGACCAGAATATAATATCTGTCTCTGGACCTAAGTAACCTATCAGTCACTCACTACTCATTCTTCCCACTTACAGATTTAGCTACCAAGCGTTATATAGCTATGTTCCACAGAACGATGACGAATTGGAACTCCGAGACGGAGACATTGTCGATGTCATGGAAAAGTGTGACGATGGATGGTTTGTTGGTAAGTGGTCTCGCCCCGTCTTTCTTACTAGCTGTGTTTTGAAGGAACAAGTAGGAGTGGTGAACCTGCAAAAGGCAGTATTCTCTGCATGGAAAGAAGAGCCTCCTCAGCTCCTGTGCCACCGTGAGGAGTGCGGGGCCGCCAGTTTGTGTTTGCTCTCGGGACTGTGTGGATGGCAGTAATTAACTTTGGACCTAAAGACCAAATATGCCAACATCAAGTGCAGGGGAGGGGCACTTGTCAAATCCATTAATTAAATTCTGTTTGTATTTCTATTGTACATGTATCTGTTTTACATTTGGAAATTTTATTTTTTTTTAACTTTTATGAAACAACACAAGAAAATTTGACTGAGCCTTGGTCTCTACCATGAAACTCAAGCATGTGTGTAGACTCAAGCATAAGATCTAAAGATCTTATTTATTCCAGCCTTCTAATAACTTTAATCAAAGCAACCTAATTAATTAAAACAGAGGATTCGCCTTTATAAAATGGGGGAGAGAAAGAGGAACATTATTGAGATTCTGTTACAAAGCAGACACTTGCTTGATATACTTTCTTATTGACATCCTTTCAACAAACAGCCCCAAATCCAAGAATTATCTTCATTTCACAGATTAAAAAACTGAGGCCCAAAGAGATTAAGTAACTAGTCCAAGGTCACCCAGGTCGCAAATAGTGGGGCCAGTATTTGAACCCAGGCCATCTCTCCCCAGGCCTCTGTTCTTTCTGCTCAGGTATGAACATGACGTTGGGAGTCACTGACGCCTCTTTGCTTCAGTTTTTCCCTTGTACAAATGGCTTTACCTTTATCTTCTCTCCAAAGACTAGCTCTTTCCTGATCCCTGGAAAAGCTTTGCTAAAGCAAAGTAATGTCAGGGCTGGGGTAGTGAGAACAGCAGGCCTCTGCACACACGGGAGGCCAGAAAGAACTGCCGTGGCCTCGCCAGGCTCTTAGAGAGCTGCCCCGTCCTCCAGAGGCCCCCAGAGCCTGCAGCCCTCGCCACCTTGAGTTGTGTTCAGAGGGAAGTCAGGTCTGAGAGGCAGCGACACTCCAGTGCAGCGATTTCCAACTTGTGCCACAGGAAATTTTAAAAAATGCAGTACCTGACTATTTAGTCAGGGGCACTGACCCCTTTTCCCTTAGATTGTCAAGTAAAAAATGACAACAGCCAACACAACAATAGCCATCTGGTGTGAATGAGTCAAAATTATGCCTTTTTTTTGGTCAGATCAGTAAAAAAATACATATTTGGTATGCTGCAGAATTTTAGTGATTCGTGTCTGTGCGCCATGGGATGAAAAAGGTTGAGAATCGCTGCTCTAGTGCAGTGCAGTAGAAACCCAAAGCCATGCACGAAATTTCAGGTTTCCTGGAAACCATGTTGAAAAAGTAAAATGAAACCAGTGAAATTAATTTTAATACATTTTATTAAACCCAGTGCATTCAAAATATTATCATTTGAACATGCAATCAGTATTAAAAAAACAAACTGTGAGATATTTCACATTCTTCTTTTCCTGCTGAGTCTTAGGAATCCGATGCGCGTTTGCAGTCCCAGGCAGCTCGGTTCAGAAGAGCCGTGTTTCAGGGGCTCAGTAGACACGTGTGGCTGTCATATGAAAGCACAGCTCTAGTGCATATTAGCTATTAACCTCTCCCAGGAGCATTTATAGTTTTTACGAGAACTTGGGGTGGGGTAAGGGGCACCAGTTCTCTAACGGAGCGTCCCGGCAGCTTGGTAAAGGAAATATTTCAGATTCTTCGATTCCTCAAACACTTCGAAAAGGAACCTAATATTGAGACTAGGAGTAAAGTATCCCAGCGGAGCTCGTCCTTCTTGTCCATAAGGAAAGGTGCTAACCGGCTCTCTGAGCACATCTCTGGGCCCTGCCATCTCAGCTCTCTGCGCCCTCCTTCACCATCATCCCCCCTCGGGGTTCAGATAGTGGCTCTGGCACATTCTTTTATCTGAGAAGTTTCACTTCAGGCAACGGCTCCAACCCACTGGTAGTGGCTGCTGGAAATGCATTCAGCAGGATTCTGAGGCCGTATCCAAGCCAACTGGGAAAAGGAAGCAGTGATCAAATTGTGTCTGCTAATGAGAGGGTAATGATGGCACCACACACACACACACACGGTGCCTGCTCTAGAGGGGGAACCCCAAGGGCAGGAACTGAACTAAGGATCCAGCAGTTCTGAATCTGGAACAGGTCAGGAAGGGCTTTGTTCCCAAATAGCTTAATAAGGGTAGCAAAGATATGGAGTCAGTTGTGGGCTTAGGCGGGCTTAGGAGAGGAATTTCCTCTTGATGTGTGGTCATATCCAGTGGACTTTCAGAAATCCTGCAGTTTAGAAATTCTAAATCCCTGGTATCTTGTGCTGGATAGATGTGCTCAGTCTTCCAAAACGGAGAAGTATTGGTAAGAGCAGCGGCTGGGAGTCAGAGGGCCTGGGTTCAAAGTTTGCCTCCAGTACTCACCAAGCTGTGGGCCCTCAGCAGTGTCACTTAAGCTCTCTGAAAAAAACCTCATTTGAACAGAAAAAAGCAGGAGTATTAAAAATGCCTGCCTCGCTTACCACCCAGCATTATTTTGAGCCTCAATGAGATAAGATAAGGGAAAGTGCTTTGGAAACTACACCATGCTGCAAGCTGCCGGGTTGCTGTCCAGAGCTCTCTTTGAACTCACACAGGCGGGTGAGTCTTCTCATTGTGTGTATATGTGTTTTTTTATAGGTACTTCAAGAAGGACGAGGCAGTTTGGTACTTTCCCAGGCAACTATGTAAAGCCTTTGTATCTATAAGAAGACTGAGAACCGCAGAGATGATTTTTATTGGAAGATGAAGCATAATTCATGAACTGGTCTCTTTATTTAAAAGTTGAGTCAGTAGGAAAAGTAATACAGTGGATAAAGTATGAAGCAAAAGAGAGGGACAGGGAAGTGTGTTGTGTTTAAAACCCGAGCCTGTCTAAGCTTACCGTGTATCAGACAGGCCCGAACCACGCGCTGAGCAGAAAGGAATGAGGCAAACCTGTATTTACTTCGCCGCTCTGGGAGCCACTCCAGCCCTCCCCTCCCCTCCCCTCCTCTCCCTGTCTTAGGTAATCTGACCTGCAGCCCAGTCCAGGAGCAGTTAGGCCAGAAATGCCTCCTGCTGCTGCACCCGTGACCAGCTCCCGCTCAAAGAGGTCTCTGTGTTTAGCCTGAAGCGGCCTTCAGCGTGCCAGGCAGACCCCCAACCATTCTCCAAAGGCTCCACACAGACCCCAGCCACCCGCAGCCACTCCAGAGCCCACTGACCCCCCAGCACTGCTGGAGATGAGTCTGGGCTGCCAATTCACAGCCCCTCACTGGACCTGCTGAGGTTCGTGGGGAAATGGAGGGAAAACGTAGGCGCCCCGAGCATGTGCACCCAGCCTGCCTGCAGCATTGCCATTGACGCCCTGGGGTTCAGAAGGAAAAGCACATGAGGTTTGCTCTGTGGGAGCGGGTGGCCAGGCAGACAGTTAAATCTGTGTGTCTGGGTGATTTAAGTCAAGAAGCCTTGTAGCTCCTGAGGTCACGTGCTGTGTGCTTTCCCATATCACTGGCTTCCACAGACGTTCCCTTTCAGGGCAGCAGTTTCATTGGTCAGAATGCCATTGCTGACCTTTTCTGGGTTCTTGACCAGGACAGTTTGGGGTTGATAGGCCTGTTCTCAGAGAGAACCAAGGGTGGTGATGTTCAGTGATTCATTTGACAAACACTGGTGTATGCTGGATGCCAGGGCGTGCTGGAAGCCTTTACAGAGACTCACCGTGTCTCCACTTTCACTCCCCAGAGGAGCTCAGGGGCGGCTCAGGATGTAGCCGGCCCAGGGCTGTGAATGCTGGTGCACCTGGCGAGGCTTCTCTTCAGAGCAGAGGTGCAGATGCAGGGGCCCTGGGTGTGAGAAACGATTCTGCCGCTCCCAGGAGGCCAGATCCAAGGGGGCGGCCCCCACAACACCCTGGTGTTCAACCACACCGGTGGTGTTCTGTCCACTTCAGGGATGTTTATAGGCCTCTCTGTTAGACCCCTTGGAGAATGGAAGATAGAAATGGCCCATTCCCCGCCTGCCGTGGACTCAGAGGTGATTGGGGAGACAGACACACACACAAATACTCAAGAGAGACTGTGATATGTGCTAAGAAGGGTGTGAGAGGGGAAGAGATGAATTTTCCCTGGAGGGATTCTAGAGAGCATTGTCATATTTCTGCCTCCATTAGCTCACTGTGGAACAACTAAGACCCAAGAACTTTTGCCCGAGGCTACTTTATGGCTGAAAGTACTTGGAACTATTTCCGGAGTCTTCAGACTCTCACCCTTCCCACAAATACGCATCCAAGGTCACAAGTAGGAGTAGCAGCTCTACGTGCTGGGGTGTGTACAGGAACCCTGGCCCTCTGCCTATAGCTCAGAAGTGCCCAGGACCCTTGTCCCAAAGTCTGAGTCTTTATAAGTAGGTGAAGTTTGTCTTCAGTGTCTCTGCCTCCACTACTCATCTTAGGATCCCATCAGCTGCCCACCCTCCACCGGACAGCCACAGTGCCCTCACTTGTCTCCCTGTCCTCTTCAAATCTTGCTTGCTGACTTCTTCACATTAAAGTGTAAATGACTTGATCGAGGAATGTGTTACCTCTTCCCAGAGATACTTGTTTTTAACTAGGGCAGAGCAGAGCCTTAATCCCAAGGGAAAAGATTGTGGAACTAATGGTGGGGGTGCAAGTGGGGTGGAGGAGCTTCCTGAGTAGAAATTCCTTAAATAAGACTCATTGCTTTGGAAGGTCCACTCCCCAGGGCACTGCGGTTTTGACTCTGAGGGAATATAGTGCAAGTGTGTGTGCACGTGCATTTGCCCAGCAGCATTTCACCCATTTCGAAATGTAATTCTTGTATTGGCTAATGTGTTTCCTGGTCTTTCTTAGATGCAAACCGTTAATATCATGATCTTATCTAATAGTTCTTTGAGGGGTGCTTCTTGATTAAGTAGGTAATTTTGAACACCTCTTTAAATACAGCTAGAAAATAAAACCAATTTGTAAAGCCACGTTTGCATATGATGCCAGCCTCACCCATTTGTGTATCTCCAGAAACCCAGATATGCCTCACCAATTTGCCTGTCTCTAATAAAATCATGTGTTCAAATTTGCATCAAACTTCAGCTTCCTATGTGTGACAAAACAAGAAACAAAGGTTTCCAATGGCTCTTTTGTCTTCAGACCTTTAGTAATATAAAATACCTATTTTTATGCTGAGATGTTTATACAGGTTTATTAATAGCAAGTGCAACTAACTGGCGGCATGCCTTGCAAGCAGTTTGGATATATTAGCCACGCTTCTGGGTAAAGGCAAGCCCCAAACTACTTCTCTTTTGCAGTCTCTCTGGGATCAGTAAAAGAAAAAAATCATATGCTTAAGTGGGACTGTAAATAATGTATATTTACCTTTGTATAGCCCATGTACCTACTTTGTATAGAAAAATAATTTTAAAAATTTGAACTGAAGCGGGGTAAAATAAGGAAGTCATGAAGTTTTTTGCATTTTTATTTAAATGAAGGAATTCCAAATAACTCACCGGCAGATTTTTTAGCACGAATATAGCCATTGTAAAGTGGTAAAATTTTAAATAAATAATCATTATTTCTGGGAGAGAAGATAACTAATCTCAGTTACAGGTTTTTTGTTTTGTGGGTTGGTTTTATTTTGTTTGGTTTTTTTTTTTTTTGGCAGTTCTATTTATCTGAAGTAGTATTAAGTCCTATTGCTAGAATAGGTTACTACAAAAATGATTCTATTCTGAAAGAAAAATAACTGACATTATATATAACCAGTTAATTTAAAGCGTTGCCATTTACATTACACACCGAGAGCATGTCCTGAGCAGACACAGGTTCTTCTGTTCGTTTATTTTTCTTCATTGCAGTGGGTTGATTTGATGAATAGGGGTGTTGAATTACTACATTTGCTGTACATATTATTTAATAAACTTTATTCAGAATCACGTGGCATCCATTTCTTACCAATCATCGTTTCCTCCTTTGCCAAGCTTCCCAAAGGAGACTTACACTCACTGCTTCGATGTCTCTTACTCTCCTTTTTCAGTCTTATTTATTTATGTATTTATTTAGAGAGGAAGGGGGGGGAGAGAAACATCAATGTGAGAGCGAAACGTCGATCAGCCGCCTCCTGCATGGGCCCCATACGGGAGATGGAGCCTGCGGCCCAGGGTGTGCCCCGCCCAGGAACCGAGCCAATGACCTTTTGGTGCACAGGGCAGTGCGCAACCAACTGAGCCACACTGGCCAGGGCTCCTTTTTCATTAATCACCTGCCGCCGGCTTCCACCCCTCTCCTTGAAGACACCATCTTAGCTTATTCTTTCCTCAGTAAGCTAACCCCCCGACCCTCTGAATTATTGTCTACCGTTTCGCCATTCTTTCTATATGTTTTTATTTGTTCTGATTACAAAAATAATGCAGATGCCTGTAAAAGCGAAACATTATGAAATATGTAAAATGCGTCTTGATTTGCTCCACAAAACAAGGGTGCAGGAAATGACACTACATTTGGTTTTTCTAAATCAAACCTGGCTATGAGTCTTCCCTTGCTGTGGTGGGCAGAACTGCCATCTGTCCTTCCCCCTCCCAACCCAAGTATGTCAGGCCTGGGCACTAAGCATCCAGCCTCCCTTGGCATCCCAGAGCTAGGATCACTCCCTCACCATCTGGGGTGGGGCCAGCTGCACACGGGCATGGGTCTGTCCAGAACAGAAAAACCTAAACCTCTCCCCTCTTTCCCCTGGTTCTGTTTTTTTCTGTCTCCTTCAACTCAAAGCACCAGTTTGCACTGCCTCCTCTGGGGTGACTCAATTGAACCTCCCCTCAGTGGGCTTAGGCCTCAAACAGTCCTGGGAGAAGGGTGTTTTCCAAAGTCTGTTGGCCCCAGTACTGGGCCCTGAGTCACAGGCGCTACTTTCTCTCATGGTCCCATCCAACAACTCCATCAGCTGTACCTTCAAAATCCATTTGGAACCCAACCACTGTACCACCGCTTTCCCTCTCCTGGATCATCAGTTTCTACCTGGCCTCCCTGCTTTCACCCATGCACCCTCCAATTTAGTCTTAACAGAGCACTCATTTTAAAGTTGGTCCAAAACCCCCCGGTGGCTTCTCACTCAGAGTGGTAGGATGGCCTCGGGTCCATGGGCACACTCCCCGCCCTTCTCCCTTACCGTGGCTTCGTTCCTCATTGCTCTTCCCAGCCACACAGTCCTATGACCCCAAATCTTCAAGCTTACTTCAGCTTTAGGGCCTTGCGTTGCTACCCCCGGGAAGATCATTCCCCGCAGAGCTGCATGGATTTCTTCCTTTAGGTATTTATGTTGCCTTCTCGGTGAGGCTTTCTCTAACCAATTTACACATAATGAGACCCCGCTGTCTCCACCCCAGCATTCTAGCCCCTTTCTCTCCTCTGTGCGTCTCCATAACATCACTATTTCCCATCCATATAAAATCCTGTTTTGCTATTATATGCCCAGGACCTATAAGAGTGTCTAACATGGTCAGTACTCAGTCACTCAATCCTTTATTGATCTAATAAATGAGTGAATAAATAAATGAACGCAGTAAATGAATGAATGAACCCATGGGGTCAGAGATTCTAGAACTCTGAACACAGTAGCGCAAAAAGGGAAACATCTTGCCATTTTCTTACAGCAGCAGAAATAGAACAGAGGTTAATCTCATTATTCTAGGCCCCTACTAACCTAGAAAGTGAAAATCCTCCGTAATACAGCCACCCCCACAGAGATCACCAGTGCCAACTATCCAACGCTTGGTGCTCTGAGCTTTCTCCTCTGCACATACGACATACACACAGCTATAAACAAATGCTTTGCATAGTCTTTTATCCCCTTAACAATAGAACTGGTCGTGTTTCCATAATTTACTTAACCAACCCCCTATTGATGATGCAAATGTTTGAAATTCTTGCCTGCTGTCTACCACAGCAAACAATGCTGCATTGAGTACAATTATTGGCTCAAGGAGCAGGAACATTTAGAATCTTGAGATCCTGCCAAATTGCCTTCCCAAAAAAACGCCAATTTATTCTCCCACCAAGTCCACAGGAGTGTGTCTGTTTCCTCACCACCCAATTAAAACTAGTTCATTATCTGCTTCTATGAAATGTTGCTCCTTGGTTCGCCTGCCTTTTCTCTGGCCAGCCCCTTCCCTGTCCTCCTGTCTTCACTGAATTCTCAGCTCTGTTATTTTCTCTCAACGCATGCTCTTTCGGGTCCCAGATCTCTCACAATGTAATTTGAGGCCAAAGATTCCATGGTTTGAGGGCTCTTTTCAATGAAGAGTGCTAGAAACCCAACACTACTGACCATTCTTGAGTCACATCACTGAAGAAGGGAGCTGGAGCTAGCCTCAGGCAGGAGCGAATCCAGACACAAACTTTCTGTTGGTATCTGTCTTGTTCTTGGTGTTGCTGGTCTTGTTTGGCTACATGTTCACCTACTGAATGCAGCAACAGGCAGCGGGGCCCATCAGTTCTCCGACTCCAGGCTAGGCTAAAGGGCCTTCCTGTTTGGCTTCCCTGAAGACAATTCCAGACCTGGCAGGCCCAACATGGATACTTACCCTTCCTTAGACTAAGCATTTTGGCGCGGGGGGGTGGAAAATGATTGTGCACCACCAGAACCTCATGGGATGGGGAGAGGAAAAGGCCAGGGGAGGGGTGTACTGCTGTAGGAAGGCAAGGAGGCGCTGGATGGATAACTCAATGGCCCACTGTGCAAACTGGATTTTGAGTGTGATAGTGACAAACTTTGAAAAGTGGAACTAACTATTGCCCTGTCGCAGTACAAACTTGAGTGCAGCTGAATGCAGGCTACATCCTAAAGCTCTACTGGCTGAGGTCCTGAGAACTCGACGGAGCAGGACGTCCATCCGAAGAGTGGGCTGATGTAGTGAAGTGGGTGTAGCACTCTTCTGAAAAGGAACAAAGATTAGTGTCTCAAAGTCATGAGCTTTTGGATGAGTTGTTCATGGGTGTATTTGCCAAGTCTGAGCATGTAGAAATTAAGCCTGCCTCAAGGACATGTGCTAAGGCCTTTTAGGACAAATGAAAGAAGTTCTTACTTGAGCCCTGGCCAGGTAGCTCAGTTGGTTAGAGCATTGTCCTGATACACTGAGGTTGTGGGTTCAATCCCCAGTCAGGGCACATACAAGAATCAACCAATGAATGCATAAATAAGGGGAACAACAAATCAATGTTTCTCTCTCTCCTTTTCCCTCTCTCTCCAAAAATCAATCAATTAAAAAAAAAAAAAGTTTAAGTTCCTACTTGATACAGGCAGTTTATTGAATGGGTTAGCCAAGAAGGTGGTTCAGATTGAAAATACTCAAAAATATTTAAGATGAACCCATAGATGCCCAAGGCCTTGATAAGATCATGGATGACCAGGTGATACTTTAGTTTATGAAGTCTGTGCTGGGAGATGACTACCCCACTCCTCCAGCACTCTCACTCAGCCATCAGCAGAAGCAAAATGCTGTGAGATTAAGAGTCTCTCTGGAAAACAGCTGACACATCTTCCTGAAATCCCTTCCTCTGTGATACAATGCTTCCCACGCACAAAATGACTGCGGATTTGAAGGTACCCTCATCTTCAGCTTGGTGTCCAATTGCAACCGAACAGGCTTAAGCATTTTTTTAAAGTTTCCAAAGAATTAAGTGTGGCTCCTTCACAGAGGGCATCAGGAGCCAAGGAAAGGCAGCCTGTGTAGACGGGGACGTGCCAGAGCAGTTGGCATGGAACCAGGGGGCATGTCTAGAAAAGTGCGGGAGGAGCAGGCCAGATGAGACGGGAAAGTGGGACTTCAGGGGGAGACGAGAGCCTCAGGAGGAGCTGCTACGGAAACGCGACAGAGAGGGAGTTAGGCGTCAGTCCAGGGGCGTTAGAGAGTTAACCCAGAGCGGGGTCAAGCCAGAGAGAGGATAAGAGCAGCAACAGTGCCCCATTTACCTAGAAACAATGACGTCCCTTATACACAGCAACCTTTCCATGACCCTGCAAAGAAGGCCTAGTCCTTGCTTTTCAGTTAAGGGCAAACCTCTCAATCCTGTTCCCCCTCCAGCTACTGCCTGGTGTCTCTCATTCCTTTGAAAGCAAAAGGCCTCCAAAGAGCTGTCTGGGGAGCTGGGTGAAGGTGGGCAAAGGGGGGGCGGGGGGTAACATGGGGACATCTGTGATAGTGTCAACAATAAAAATAAATTAATTTAAAAAAGAGCCGCCTGTACTTGCTGTCTCCCATTCCTGTCCTCTTATTTACTCTCGAGCCCATCCCAGTCAGGATTTTGCTCCCACATCCTGACAAAAGCCTTCTCTTCAGGACCCGAATGACCTTCCCGCCACTGAATCTCGCGCTAGGCCTCAATTCTCCACCCCCGGACTTTCAGCAGCATTGACTCACCTGCTCCCTCCTCCCTCCCCCTTAGCTCCCAGGTGCCACCCTCTCCTGCTTCTTCCATCTCACCCGCTGCTCCTTCTCAGTCCCCTTGGGTGGTTCCTCCTCACTTCCCAGGCCAGCGTCTCGCAGTTGGTGTCCCCAGGCCAATCCTTGGCCCGCCCGGTTTCCTAGTCCCCAGCGCCCTCATCCACTCTCGTGTCTTAAAAACCCACTATGTGCTCCTCTTTCCCTGGGCCCCTCCTGTGGGCTCCAGACTCCTTATATACAACTGTCTGTTCCACATCTCTGCTGAAATTTAAATGTGTCCAGAACTAAATTCCTCGGCATCTCCCCAAAGCTGCTTCTCCCACAGGCTACCCTGTCTTTGTTAATGGCAGTTCCATCCTTGTACCTGCCGTTCAGGCCAAAACACTTGAGTCATCCGGGACACCCCTCCGGTGCCTCCCTTCCTATCCATCAGCAAATGCTTGGCAACGCGGCGGAATCCCAGCCCTGCTCCCAGACTCCTCCGCTCTCCACCCTGG